TGTGAGCTCCTGTTCTGAGCTCCAGGGTCTAGAACATTCCAGGCTGAGTCGCACGTTCCATGTCGATCCCTTTCAGGACCCTAGGAGGTAGCACCGCAGGCCTGTGGGATGGGGGCAGAGCTGAGGCCCACCCTCTCCTCTCCTACCTGTCCCCCACCCCACTGGATGAGCCCACCCTGTGCCTGTCCTAGCCTCTCCCCTGAGCCCTGGGCCGTCCTGAGCGATGGGAGGTGTTCCTGCCGCTGCCCCCCCGCCAGGCATGTCTCCTGTGTCCTGTGGCGTGTCAGCACCCAGGACTGGCCCACCAAGCACCCCAGTCTCTCGCCCTTGGAGCAGCACAGCAAGCCTTCCGCTGTGTCCGCTGCCCCCTGGACACCCGTCCAACTCCGGGACTTTGTCCCACCCAGGGCCGGCTGCCGTCCAGCCGCCGAGGTCGCCATCCTTCCTGGCCTGCGTGCCCCGTAGCTGCGGTTTCCTGACATTGAGGGCTCCGAGCTGCTCTTGCAGCTAGTGTGTCTTTGGGAGACTTGAGACTATTCTGTGTGTTCCTGGCAGAGAGTCAGGGCTCTGTTTCTTAGTCTGTGGGCCCTGCAGGAGCTGAGACCCTGGGGAGGGGCGTGCCCTCCTCCTGTCCCCATCAGCTGTGTCCCTCTGACCTTGGGCGTGAACCCTGGCTCTGGAGAGATGGTTGAGGAAGGACGTGTGTGCAGGAGAGCATGGTGTCGAAGCTCTAGGTCTCCACGCGCCCCAGTGTTTGCCCTGACCACCCCAGGCGTGCGCCTTGGGCTGCTGGGGCACCAGTTCCCGTTTCCGGTGGACTCGCCAGGCAGAGGACTCAGGTGGGCAGTGCTGACAGCAGACTCCAGAGTGACCGGTGCTCCCCCGCACGCGCTCAGGGCTGTGTGGCTGTCCGCGATGGGCATTCCCTGGTTTCCCTGGTGATGGGAACGTGACCTCGTCTGAGATCTGAGGTGTTTGGACATTGTCTTTCCTTGCATGTCAGACCTCTTGTGTTCTCTCCAGGTTGCCCGTCTTTCTCTGCTTTTGTCTTCAGGGGCCTTTTTCTAGACGTGTGTCTCCTCCTCCAGGGACGACCTTCTCATCCTTCGACTTAACATGGTCCTGCTTGGGTATCTCGACCTCCTCCAGGGTTGACAGTCTTTTTCCTAAGAGCTTTGATGTATTATTTTCTACGTTTGGACTTACGATCTGCTTAATCAGTCCCCTCATCAGGCCACACGCGTGGCCCTGTTCCCAGACTGTCTATCCGTGAGCCAGCCAGCCTGCAGCCACAGAGGCAGCTCTCAGTCCTCAAGATGCGGGAGGGGTCTGGGATCTCACAGTGGGTCCTGGTGTCCAGTTACCTCAGTCTCACAATTCTTTTTTCTTCATGGTCGTCTTCTCTTCCCAGCCCTTGGGTTCCCACCACACCTGTAGGATAGACTTACTGGGAGTTTGGCCGAGGTTGCCTGCAGCCTGAAGTGACGTTGAGAAGTGATGTTAGGTGAGAAGTGACGTTTCTGCTCCGAGTTTCTTGACCGTGAACACGGTGTCTCTATCCACGGACCCCAGTGTTTTATGGTTTTTGGAGTAGAGGTGTTGCATGTCTTTTTGTAATTGTCCCACAGTTCTTGGATTTTTCCCCCCACTTTTGTTTCTCTTTACCTTTCAGTTTGGGAAGTTTCTGTTAACCTGTCTTCAAACTCACTGATTGTGTCCTTGGCCATGTCTGGCCTTAGGATGAGCCCATTGGAGGCATCTGTTTCATTCACAGACTTGGTGGCTTCTGGCCCTTCTGTCTGTCCTTGCGTGGCTTCCACTGTGTCCACCAGAGTCCTTGGTGCAGTAATCCCAGCTGTTTGAAGTTCCTGGTCTGATAGTTGCAGTATCTCTGCCATTTCTGAGTCTGAGTCTGGTTCTCACATCTACACTGTCTCTTCAGACTGCTTTCTCTTGCCTTTTTGTATTTTGTACGTTTTTGTTGAAGGCCAGCCTTTTAGGGGAACAGGAGCGAGGTAAGTGGAGTGTGAGGCATCTGCTGCAGCAGCAGGTCCGCAGCGGAGCTGCTCCTGGTCCTCGGGAGCCACACGGGAGAGCGAGCTCCGTGGAGAGGGCGCCAGCGCTTCTCGCCCTTGTGCCCTGTCACGCCCAGCCACCGGCTGCTTATCAGTCACCATTTAAGTCCGTCTTCTCATCTTTCCGTCTCCCAGCTTCGGGGTGGGGGCTGAGAAAGGTGACTGGTTTTCAGTCTGTGTATGTTTTTCCTAAACGCACTGCACAGGGCTCCCCAGGTCTGCCTGACTCTGCTTTGGTGGCATTCTGTTGATTGAGGAAAATCTCAATTTCTTTGTTCAGTTTTCTCAACTGTGATGCGTTTGAAGATGTGTTCCCTGTAGCTCAGCTGGTAAGGAATCCACCTGCAATGCAGGAGACCCTGGTTCGATTCCTGGGTTGTTAAGATCCCCTGGAGAAGGGATAGTCTACCCACTCCAGTATTCTTGCCTGGAGAATCCCATGGAGAGAGAAGCCTGGCGGGCTATAGCCAGCAGGGTTGCAGAGTCAGACACGTCTGAGCCGCTTTCACTCACTACAGGTGCCTGCATGTTTTAAGTTTGTGACTCTTCTTGGCAGACTGACCATCGGTGGAAATATTCTTGTTTATCTGTGATGATGCTTCGTGCCTTGAGGTCTCCTTGGTGTGATGTTGAGAGCCACAGCAGAGTTTTTGCTTAGTGTTTATGTAGTTTATCTCTTCATTATTTCACTTCCAGTTTGTGTACGTTCTTATATTTAGGTTTCTTATAAATAGTAGCTAGGTCTTCTTTTTAATCCAGTTTAACCATTTTTGGTAACTGTGTTTTTTCCACTTGTATTTAATATGTGATTTTGGCTTTACTGGGTTAGTTTGCCGATTTCTTTTCAATCCTGTTTCTTTCCTTTCTTGTCTTCATTTGCAGTGGTTAATGACATTTTACCATCTCGCTTCCCCTTCTGTTAACTTCCTGCAGTTTTCTTGCTGTTCTGTTAGGGACTGCCCGTCAGGACGGCGTTCCTTCCTGATGTACCGCACTCAGAACGGCGGCACCGCGCAGGGAGCCCAGGCTGTGCTCCGCTCGCTTCCCAGGGCCCAGGCGGTCGTGGCGTGCCTTCATTCAGCCACCGCTCCCGTCACTGTCCTTCAGTTCACTGTGCTCTTTTAACTCTCCATTTCTTCTCTTTGCGGCAGAGTTATTCCGGAGGTGAAGTCTCCCCCACCCCCGCCTGCCGTACAAGTGTACGGCCCTTGCCTGGCCTTCTCTGGGGGCCCCGCAGGACCCCCTCAGATGTGGGGCGGGGGCAGCACTGGTGACGGCCGGCTGAGTGTTGATTCTGCCTCCTTGTGTGATGGCCAGGCACACCACCAGCTTCCTGAGGAAACGTGCTTTCGATGTTAATAGGAAAATGTTGCAAAGATGGTGAAGTTGTGGGGACAGCACAGTCACCCTCTGCACCCGCTCACTGCCCAGAGGGCTCCTGGCACAGATGCAGTTTCCTGCAGGAAACGGGGCACAGGGACGGCTGGGGAGACGGCACTGACTGGCTGACTCTGTCCCGTGTCCTCCGCAGCCTGCCGTCCGCTGAGGCCGGTCCTGGAAGCTGAGCTCGCGCCTGCCTGCCTGGCCAGGAGAAGCCCGGGCACAGTTGACGGGGAAGATGCGGACGGACGGTGGCCTGGCTGGTGCACACGAGGGACCCGGAGTCTGTTACCTGGAGGTGGTGTCTCCTCACATGCATCCTGCGCCCGGGTGCCCTGGCCTGTCGGTGCTTTTGTCCTCATCCCCAACCCGCGTTTAATAAAATTACCTGCCGAGCAGCTCCCCGACTGTCTGCCATTGGTGCCGGCAGGGATGTCTGGTCTGGGAGCTGGAACCATAGGGGCGTGTAGGGTCCCTCCCCACCCACCCCAGCCCCATGCTGAGACCCACGGCGGGGGGGGGGGGGTGCCCCGGAAGCACAGGCCTGGGACGACTGGTTGCAGCCTCCCATGGCTGTCCTGTTACCACGTCCGCTGTGGCTTTGGTCTAATCCACTGACAAGCTCTTGGAGACTCACATTTAATGTCAGGTCACAGGGCTGAGAGTGGGTGCCTTCTACCAGGTCCTTTTGCAGGGGGCTGTTGAGGGGTCGTGTGGGTAGCGTCTTCCCCCCTCACCCTGTTCTAGCATCCAGTGCACACGGCCATCGCGAGTCACCTACTTTTGTGTGGTTTTGTTCAGTCAGAGCTGACACTTTTTTGAATGCTGCGGGGACCAGTTTCATCCACACAGGGGACTTGTGACAGCAGCTCAGACCCCGAACTAAAACAGGGTGTGGTCGGCAGCTTCACCGCTGTGCCAGCGTGTGACCTCCCGGAAGTGGAAGAACCACATGGCCTGTGCCCTTTCTCCACTTGTCCAGAGTGGGCTACACACTCAGGGTTTGCGAGGCAAAGACAGGCGGCTTCTCCCCGCACAGGCTGGCGCCCACGTGGGCCCATCCAGAGCCAGTGCGCGTAAGGGTTCCCCACCTGGGCACTTGGGTGGCCGGGCTCAGAGCCGGGAGGGTCTGGCCCTCCCGTCTGCTGCTTCCCAGGGTGAGGTCCGGACGCAGCAGAGATGTGGACGGACGGGTGAGAACGTGTGCAGCACAGCTGTCGGGCCAGGACGGTGCCACTGCACCTGGGCCACAGGACGGACTGCCTCGAGGGACGTGTGGAGGCCGTGGTGGACTCAGCCCGCCTCGGCTGGACCGCACCTGGTAAGGACAGACTAGGTCCCTGTGGGTACAACAGCCCTCCTCGGTGCACAGCTGGTTTCCAGTCTTCACACTGTCCAGTCCAGTCGAGTAACTGCTGTGGGAACTGTCCTGTGTGTTGTAGAATATTTAGCAACAACCTAGAGGCCGGTGGGTACCCCTCCCAGTTGTGATGACAAAAACACCTTCAGGCAGATTCCTGAAAACTGACCATGTAACAAAAAGAATAACAGCTACTGTGTGGATTTTCAAAAGCACGCAGAATTTTGACAACAGTAGCAGCAGTATGAAAACACAATTTTAGAAGGTGTTGGAGCCCTGTGGCTAGAACACCAGTCTCCTGCCTCTGATCGACACCTTTCTGTTTTGTGAAGGGTCTCCCAAGACCCTCTGCACGCAGAGACCCCAGTGCTTTAATCACCGAGGCTGGGAATTCTCACCCAGACGTGGCTTCACAACAAAGCCACTCCTGATTGTTCAAGCCCCCTTGACCCTCCTCGGAGCCAGGAGTTACTGCTTCGTTCAAGTGAACTGTTGGGGCAGGGCCCTCATCCCTGGGAGTCATCACTCACTCCGGCATTGATGACACTAACGACTCAACACGTCGATGATTTCTTCTTGGATCAAGGAGAAGCCCAGTGGCACCAGCATCACTTTCAGGGAAGAGCCACTGGGCTCCTAAGACCAAGAGACCAAATGGGCAGTGCCAGGCCATTTCTCAACACAGGACTGGCCCCCAGTGGTCTGGACGTGGTCAGAACTGCCACCTTCCCCAGTTCTGGTCACACCTCCAACTTAGGACCGACCAAAGAAAGAGGCGCTCCCATGCCCACTCACACCCGCGGCCCCTGCCAGGCACTGCGGGCCTCTCCCTCCCCTGCCCAGGTCTCCGCCGCACTCAGGGGCCTACTCCCCACCGGAGGAGCGTCAGCGCACAGCCTCTGTCCCCGGGGGGCCTCGTCCAGTCCCACATCTCTAATGCAGGCTGACCCCACACAGACGGAGCCACACGTGGCCCAGACTCCACAGAGGCCAGAGCTGGGAATGAGGCAGGCGCTGGGGTTCATGGCCATAGGGAGCCGGGAGTGACTAGTACAAGCTGCTGGTGCCAATGATGTGAGGGAGGCTGAGGAGCGCGTGGTGCAGCCAAGCCCTTGCCCCGAGCAGAGGAGCTGCTTCAGGCCTTGGTCTGTGTGTACCCACGTATGGACACGTGTCAAATACATGGTGGGGCGTAGACCACACGTAAAACATGCCTGGTAAAAACACTGAGCACTCTCTTGGTGAGTGGAGTTTGTGGGGTGTCTGGGCACCACCCCCCACATGCATGTTCCCCATGTGGGGCCCCAGGGCCCTCCTTCCCTGCTGGCCCTCAGCCCTGCAGCTGCTGGGGGCCTCAGACGTACCTGGGAGCAGCTGCCATGGGTCTGTCAGCTGAAGTGAAGGAAGTCCCGGCCCTCCTGCAGGTTCAGCGACCTCAGGTTGTCCTCAAACACGCCCGCTGTGAGGTCCTGTGGGTGGGGCGACAGGTCGGCGCTCTCTAGCCTGCACCGGGGACCCCAAGGTGCTCCCTACAAGCTCCTGTTCCATGGCTGAGAGGAGGGAGGGGCCCGGAGGAATCTGCTGCTGCTGTCTCACCAGTCACCAGGGAGATGGGGGCAGGGGGTCTTCTGAGGGGCCTCCACCCACCCTGGCCTTGGCCCCCTGCTGCAGGAGGTGGCTGACCCACACCAGGTACTCTGCTGAGGTTCACATGGGCAGTCCCGTTCACTCATGCCTGGGTCCAGGGCAGACTCAGCTTCCCGGTCCTGACTTGATCCTGGGGTCTCTCTGTTGTCCCCCTGTCCCACGCCCTCTGCAGGGGCCACAGGTGGGAGGCAGCCCTGGGGACAGAGCTTGTGACTCCACAACCAGCTGCAGGCAGAGCCCCTCCTGCCCCCCACTCCAGGCCTGTCCCCATGGCTGTGACAAGCTGTGGCCCTGCAGGAGGCAGGCTCCGCCCACGTCCGCCCTGGGACCTTTCTGGCGCCCTGGGACCCGGTGGTCTGAAACCCTTCGGCTGAGCCTCTGCACCAGGGCTGCCTCGTGGCCACCTCATGGATCCCCAGCCCACCCTCCCGCGTGAGCCACAGCGGGTTTGGGGAAACACCTGCAGGCTCCTGTCCTTCGTCCCAGCACCACCTGCCAGGTCCCCTCCTGCCTCCATAACCAGCAGGGCGGGGCCTCTCCAGCAGCCCCTGGGAGGGCCGACCTGACCATCACGCTCCTCCGTTGGGTGTCACCTCTCCTGGGACCCCGCACGGAGGCTCCCCCTTGTCCTCGGCTGTTTCTGCAACTACTGCTATTTGTTTCTGCAACTACTGCTATTACCTAAGTTTTGCGAGAAGTATTTGAATGGAAACCATTCTACCTGGAAAACAACTGGAATTTCCACATTCTGTCCTCTACCTGCTGTTCTCAGCCCTCCTTTTCTCCTCCCATTATCTCTGAATTTTCAAATGAAGCACATGTGGGTTCAGAGCCAGCCTGGTCACAGACCTGGGTTTATAGAGGAGCCACCGGGCAGGCAGGCCCGTTCCTGACCTGGGGAGGGGACTAACTTCACAAAACTGTTCAAGTTAGATGTTTCCACGAGTGCGCAGACCTCCTTAAGACAACAGAAAGGTCAGACATACAACCAACAGGAATGAGAACCCAGAGGGTACAGGGGACTTCTACAAGTCAGGAGACACACAATCCCGTAGACAAGCTGATCAGAAACGTCGGGAGGAAATCCACACACCTGATGTGGGAAAGGTCTCAGCCCTGCCAATGATCAGACGGAAACGAACCCCACTGTCTAATTGTGGGGCCGTGGAACCCCCCTGCCTCCAGGCGTGTCCCCTGGCCTGGCCACTCCCTAGGCGTTGTCTAGCGAAGCAGAAGACTTGGCCACCCCACAAGCCGAGGACAGCAGGCAGGACCCTCCACACGAAGTTGTGGTGTGACGCCCATGGCTGGATCCCGAAACACCAATGGGAAGAGAAGAGCTGGCCTCTAGCATGAAGTGGAGGAGGCCGGACCCCAGGGAACACGGCCGACTCCATCACACAAGCCGGGACCACGCACTCCAACTGAAGGACGAGCTGAGAAAGTACAGAACCACAGAACCGGGCGGTGCTGGGGGATGGCTGGTCATCTGTTAAACTGCGGCAGGTTCTGGAACAGATGCCGCAGTTTCCTAAAGGGCAGGTGGTTCGTATTTACACCTTTGTTGCCTCTGTTCTGGTAAAACTATGTTTACAGACGCAGCTGATAGGCCACACTTGGGCCATTTCCTAAAGGTGTGAGGAATTCACAATAAAGTTTATCAAAGAAAAATGTGAGAGGGACTTCCCTGACGGTCCAGTGGCTAAGACTCCACACTCCCAATACAGGTGTCCTGGGTTTGATCCTTGGTCAGGCAACTAGATCCCACGTGCTGCAACTGAGACCCGGCACAGCCTCAGAGTAAACAGAAGAAATGTGAGAAAAGTTCTACAAAGAATAAATGAAGGAAGACTAGCTTCACTCAGTGGTGAACATCATAAAGCTACAGTCAGTGATGATGCAAAGCAGACAGATCAGTAGAAAAAGGCCAGGACTCCAGAAGTAGCTCCAAATACACATTCATACCTAACACACAAAGATGGCACTTCCTGACAGGCAAAGACATGGATGTCTCACCAAACCATGTTGGGACAACTGAGGATCCTAATGGAAAGGAAGAAGTCTTTATTACAAAATCAATTCCAGTTGTATCGAAAATATAAGGAAAAAACCAGAGTCTGAGGACCAGACTTAGATAATGTTTTTATAAAATTTCATAATGAGGAATGATCATCTTAGAATGAATAAAACATCTAAAAACCTTAAAAGGAAGAATTATTTTGACTATACCTGAGTAAAAAATTTCCAAGTGGCAAAAGATACAAATTTAGTCAAATGACAGAAAAATTTGCAACACTTCACAGACAGTAGTTTGTTTTTGTTACTATTTAAAGAAATACTGAGACCAGTAGAGAAATGGGCCAATGAAAAGGATAATTTACCAAAAGGGAAATAAAGATGATTACAAATATGTGAAGAGACGCCCTCCTTACCTACAACATGACATTGCCAGTTGGAACCATGACCTTACTGTTTTTCACCAGCAGCTTGCAAAGGTGGTACATCTGGTCCCACTGGAGAGGGGTCACTGGTGGAGGTGTAAACTGGCTCAGCCTCCAGGGACGGAGTGGCTGGTCTCATGGCTGATGGCGAGCATGCTCTTTGACCAGCACCTCTCAAACATTTCTCCCGAGCGTGTAGCCACTTGAGCAAAATTATGCATATATAAAGATACGCAGCATTATTTCTAACAGCAAAGAGTAAAAATGGCCTGAAGCTACATCAGTAAGTACTGGGCTGGCCAGAAAGGTCACTGGGGTTTTTCTGCAAGACGTTTCATTCTGTACATTCTCTGTAAGGTGACAGTAGATGACATCTGGGTAGTAAATGTATGGAACGTCCATTTAATCGCTGCTGTTGCTGCTGCTAAGTCACTTCAGTCGTGTCCGACTCTGTGTGATCCCATGGACGGCAGCCCACCAGACTCCCCCGTCCAGGATTCTCCAGGCAAGAACACTGGAGTGGGGTGCCATTTCCTTCTCCAGTGCATGAAAGTGAAGGCGCTCAGTTGTGTCCGACTCTTACTGACCCCATGGACTGCAGCCTACCAGGCTCCTTCGTCCATGGGATTTTCCAGGCAAGAGCACTGGAGTGGCCGTATAATTGAGTGGGATGCAAATATTTTTAGGACGAGGGACATGATTCCCTCAGAAGCTCCTCCAGCCAGCAGTGAAGGAGGCGTTCCTGCCAGCATAAGGAACCCTGGACTTGAGCCCCTAGAAACATGTTAGACCACAAGCCGGTTTCATCAACAAACAGGTCGCAAGAAAGCGAGGGAGACGGAGGTTACCCCAGGTCTGCATTACAGCACACAAGGGTGGAAAGATAAAACACACCTACAAGGCAGATTTCAACACTGATGGGATATCTGGAAATTTGGGGTGAGATAGTGTTGTTTGGGTAGTTTTTTAAGCTTTTAATCTTTTAAGGAAACAATGATGAAGAAACAAGGCTAAAATCTGCCTTGATCACAGGTTGGGGGAGTTGGGGCTCAGAGGATAGCAGCGGGGGCTCACTGCTTTGGCCGAAATGTGCCGGAAAGCTCCCTTCACGATGAAGGTAAGAACAACAGAGTTAGGTGGCGCCAGTGGATTTATATGGAATTAACTCCAAGATATACCATTAGGTGAAAAAGCAAAATATAGAGTAAGTATGTATGACATGCTGATGTTGGTTTAAAACACGCACACACACGCACACACTTCCCTGGCAGTCCAGTGATTAAGAGCCCGCGTTTCCCATGCAGGAGGCAAGGGTTCAATCCCTGTTTGAGGAAGACCCTGCATACCATGTGGTGTGGTGTGACCAAAAAAAAAAAAAAAAAGTCACACGTTTGTGTTTGCATTTCTACCTCTGGACCCTCCAAAGGCACAGAGCAGGTGACGGAACAGGAAAGGTACCCACTCCCCGCCCAACGTCTGCTCCCCAGGCAAGGTCTGCATGGGTGGGGGTGTCTGCTTCATGACTATTTTAGGTCCCTGAGAAGTAGACCCTTAAAAGAGCCCATCGTCTTTGAAAAGTTAGGTATCGTCTGTGTATAGTTTAAATTTTCACGTTACAACTGCTCCTTGCAACCCCATCATCCATCCAATGTCCCTGGCAACTTGGAACATCGCTTATCTTGGCCTCTCAGGAAACTGCTTCCAAGCCAGGAAATGCAAGACCAGGTGGGCGAGGGCCACAGGAGCAGTGAGTGTGCTTGTGGCAGACAGACCCCAGAAAGCCATGACCCTGACTCAGTGCCTGCACCCCGTGGAACCCCTGCCTCTAGGATGTCAGCCGGGCCCCAGACGGCCATGACCGAGCCTCACAGTGCCTGCACCCCGTGGAACCCCTGCCTCTAGGATGTCAGCCGGGCCCCAGACGGCCATGACCGTGCCTCACAGCGCCTGCACCCCGTGGAACCCCTGCCTCTAGGATGTCAGCCGGGCCCCAGACGGCCATGACTGAGCCTCACAGCGCCTGCACCCCGTGGAACCCCTGCCTCTAGGATGTCAGCCGGGTCCCAGACGGCCATGACCGAGCCTCACAGCGCCTGCACCCCGTGGGACCCCTGCCTCTAGGATGTCACCCCCATGGTTAGGTCATGCATTACTGTGACGGGCGTCTTGCTACAGACCCAGCCCCTTGTTGGCTTTCACAGAATAAGCTGTCATCATGGGGGGGAGTGGGGGCGGGTGGCAAACAGCCAGCAAAGCGCTGAGGCCCTTGGCCAACATCCTTGAGTTCTGACTGCTGCCAGTGACCACGAGAGTCTGGAAGCAAACCTGCCGCACACGAGCCTCCCGATGAGACAGTGTGCCCGGCAGACTCCACCACTCTCAGCTGAAGCTGAAACCCACCTGTGGTGCCTGGACCTCTGACCCGCAGAAACGTGAGGTAGTGATAAATGTGTGTTGTTTGAAGCTAAGTTTGTAGTTTGCTATATAGCGACAGTTAACGCAGGTTCAACCTGGCAAACAGTCTAACAAGAAAACCTCAGGGTGACAGGTTGGGACCGGAGCCATCTGGCCACCTGGCCCTGGGCCTGTCACTGCACAGCCACCTGCAAAAGCATGAAACTGGCCCCTACCGCCCCCACATGCAAACATAACTCAAAATGGGTCCAAGACCTAAATGAAGGAACAGAAAGCAGAAAACTCTTAGAAGAAAGCACAGGGGTAAATCTTCATGACCCGATTGGGTGCTATTTTCTTAGCAGTGACACCAAAACAGGAGCAGTCAAATTTGAAATAGATAAAATGGGGACATCCCGGGTGGTCCAGTGGTTGAGAAACTGCCTTCCAATGCAGGGGACCTGAGTTCAGTGCCTAGTCGGGGAACTAAGGTCGTGGGGCGACGAAGCCTGCCTGCTGCAGCTGCTGAGCCCAGGCACCACTGCAAGAGATCCCACGGGCTACAAGCAAGACCACACCCAGCCAGAAATAAATAGTCTTCTGTAAAAACTGATAAAATGGACTTTGTCAAAGTTAAGCATTTCTGTGCACCAAAGGACACCATTAAGAGAGTGAAAAAGACAGCTCACGGGATAGGAAAAAACGTTTGCCGAAGCATCTGACTGGGGACTTGAATCTAGAAAGATTGAGAATTCTTGGGACTCAACTAAAAGGCAACTTGCTCAGAAAATGGGCAAAGGACTTGAACAGACAATTCTTCAGAGGAGACAGAGAAATGTCTAACAAGCCCACGAAAAGATGCTCTGAGTCCTCAGTTGTCAGATGCAAATCGAAACCACCATGAGAGCCATGTCACCCACCAGGACACCCGTGATGAACAGACACACATCACAAGGTGGGTGAGGATGTGAGGAACTGGGACCTCTGGGTGAAGGGTGGAGCGTGAGATGCCCTAAGACCAGCGATTCCGCCGCAGGTCTGTGTCTGAGAGAAGTGATTTCCACGTTCACGTGGAAATCAGACCTGAATGTTCCCGTGGCCTTGTTCAGACTGACAGAGCCTGTTGTGCCCCTGCAGTTCTGTTCTGGTCCACGTGTTCAGCTCAGCCGTGGTGCAAGGTCACTGACTGAGCAGTGGGACGCACACCTCTACGGCCTCGCGGCTTCTGTGGGGCTGGAGCCCAGGGCTGGGCCTGGCCACGCGGGACCGGCTGGTGGTCTGAGGCCACTTCCCTGCGCCAGGCTCCCGGGCTCAGCCTGTCCTCACGCCCGCTCTCCCGCAGCAGTGCCTCGAGTGACGGGAAGAAGAGGGACGCCCAGCCTGTGCTCCGGCCCCGCACGCGACCCCCGGCCTGACCAACACGCTGCGGCGCCCCCCATACCGTGTCAGCTTGAGCCCTGCAGGAGCGCAGCCCCAAGGAAGCCACGTCCCCCATCCACATGGGCTGCCCTGGACCACACAGTAAACTGCACTCAGAAGCTGAGAGTGACGCTACAGCGCAGGAGGAGGTACAGGAGGAGGCCTGGGATCTTCAAACCAGTCACCAGCGAGGGGCTCTGCTTTCTCTGATGCCCTCCACGGGCTTGTCCGCTGTGTACATGCAGAGCGGGCCACCTTTGCTATGAAAGTGTGTGCGGGGCCCACGGGCTCCCTGAGCCCAAGACTCAGCTAGTGTCTGCACTTGAGGTGGGAGTGAGAGGCGGGTCCTGCTCGCTTTCCTGCTGCTGTTGCCTAACTGTTGAATGAACACTGCCTCCCTTCTGCAAAAGCCACTGCCTCCAGGAAGGCCTCTGGCCTGGCACCCTGGTTACTGAAGTTCCAACCTCAGAGGCTGGAAGCTGCTGGAAGCAGCCGTCTGTGTGCACATCTGTCACCATCCCCCGTCCCCAGGGCACAGCACGGGGCCCTGTTCACTCACCCACCACTGGCCCCTCCCAGGGACACTTTGGGGCAGCCCCGCCCTAAGCGAGCCCACAGGACTGGCCCCACAGTCCAGGTGGGTTAAGGACACTTTACACTTGCATTTGTGACTATCTTTCTGACCACAAGGAGGAATTTCCAAAATGGGAGGACACTAGAAGTGTTCATCATGAGGGAAAAGCTGATAAATGTACTGTGTTAAAAGTAAGTTTTTCTGGGAAGAACCTGTGAAAAGACAAGTCACAACTTGTCTTGTTGTCCAGAGAAAACGTGCTGAACGCTAGTCGACCAAGGGCCAGCACCCGTCGATGCCAGGCTCCCAGAAACCAAGGAGAAGAGACGGGCAGGCCAGCTGGCCGAGGGCTCCAAGGCCAAGAGAAGGTTGTCATCGCCAGAGCCCACCAGTGGGCTTTGTGATGGAAACTCGCACACTGGGAACGAGACCCCCCATGAGGAGAGGGTAGTTCAAGGACCCAGCTCATAGCCTCCTTGCGGGACCCCAATATCCAGTCTGGAGCCGAGAAGCAAGCACTTGTCCCGTGCGGCCACAAATAGGGAGAAAAGGCAAGGGTGTGGTGGAGAAAACCGCCAGGACATTGGTCACCCAGTGGGCACAGGCGCGCAGGGCCACACAGGTGCAGCTGGGCGGCCTCGTCCCCTGCAGCTGTTATGGGAAATGCAGCCTGCTTTATGGGGCACCGCCGCCTCCCTGACACCCCAGGCCTGGTTGGAGTGGCCCTGTTGTTCCCGTCCCTGCCCCCATGCAGGCCACCCTCCTGCCCCCCACCCCCAGAGCGGTGGTCGCCACCTGCCATCTTAGCCCATGCCCTCCTGACCCTGGGGCTGTCCTAGACACACATAGGAAGAGAGCTGATACTCACCAGCTTCACGCAGATGACAAAGGGTGGCCGTGCGGCTCGGAAGTGCAGGACTGGGATCCGGGGCTTGGGCCTTTCCTGAGAGGAGGGAAGGGTCGTGGGCTGCCCCGTGTTGCTCCCTGCTCCCCCACGTCCGCCCTGCTCACAGTTGGATGCCCTCAGATGGGCACCAGGGCCACAGCCAGACCCAGGACTGGACCTGCTCTCCAACACCCCGGCCCGGCCATCAGCAGCGACCCCAGGACTCCCGAGGCAGGCAGTGGACAGACCCAGGCCTGTGAACAGCATCTTCAGTGGGGCTGGGGGCAGCGGGGGGCAGGCACAGGGGCCCTCTGGGGTCCTAGAGACTCTGGGAGCCTGGCAGCTATCTGGGCTCAGATGGCCTTTCCCCAGGAGGAAGGTTCTGGGTAGCGTCTACTCAAAAGGCCTGGGATAGCACCCAGAGGTGGGCTAGGTGTGGTGTGAGCGGCTCCCGGGTGGGGGCCCGCACCTGAGAGTCCTCGTAGCAGTAGAAGCCTTTTCTGATCTTGTTCTCGTCCACATCGCAGAAGGCAGCCACCTGGGAAGGACACAGGACACAGCCTCAGGGGCAGCAGGGGCGGTGCCGCAGGGCAGGGGTGGGGGCGGGGCGGGGACAGTGCGGCCAGACGCGCAGGGGTGGGGGCGGGGGGTGGTGCAGGGGCGACCCCCACCTTGCGCCGGGAGCCCGCTGTCAGGCTGCGGTACAGCCGGCGGCCCTGCCGGCCCGCGTTCCAGATGGTGAAGGTTGGCCAGTGGGGCAGGGCCCGCTCTTCCAGGAAGCGGACGCGGTGGGCCCAGATGGTGGTCCTGCAGGGGTGAGGGGTGGGTGAGGGGCGAGAGCTAGGGGGGCAGGGCCTCTGATGCCCCAGGCCTTCCTTGCCTGACTCTGAGCCTGCCCCACAAGTCCCCCTGGTCTGGGGCCCAGGTGGGCGGGGGCAGGGGAGCTGCAGCGCTCCAGCTGTTGGCTGAGCGACTGAACCTAGAAGCCCAGATGACAAGGTCACACTCCTTGCCCCACCTGGACCCTCGGACATGCCCAGCTCATGTCCACGTGCTCAGGAAGTGTGGGGGACACCAGGCACAGAACTGGGGGAGCCCAAGGGAGACTCGGCCGCCCTGGTGTCCAGCAACTGCCACTTGCCACTTTCAGAAAGAATGAAGCAGAATGTACCACCAACATCACATTTTTAAAGAGGGAAAGTATACTGTTTAGAGGACATCACACGTGGTCAGAGCATAAAGAAATGGATCTTATGGCAAATAAACTTCCCACTTGGGACACCAGGAAATGGAACCTGGGAAATGCAGGAGATTTGGGGAAATGGGTAACTTCATCTTAAAGACGATTCCTCCAGGCCTTCTGGCTGTTGGAAGTATTTCATAGTGAAACTGTTAAATGATATAAATGTTGATCATTCTCAATTTAAAATGTAAAGGACAAGATTCAGGGAGCCTCTCACAGGGCTTTTGGGGAAAGACTTTGAAGGAATTCAATTATCGACAAGCCCAAAGGTGTAATTAGCGCTCGCTGCTCTGTGAGGTTTTGCCGCTCAAAGACTTTAATCCGACACAGAAACTAACATGAGATCACCTTTTACACTGTGGGTGGCAAAGCCTCACACTGCAAAAAGAGAAGAGTCCCAGCATAAAAGACTTATCGCCTGAAAACAGGATAAGGGTGTGTGTGGCACCAGCCATCGGGACAGATACCTGGCCCCCCAGATACATGAGCACCCGCCACACCATGGGCGAGCCGCGGTAGGTCACCACCAGGGTCGTCACAGACCCACCTTCGCATCACCTTGCTTCACAGGAGCTCAATGTGAGGACACATGTACGTGAAACTTCAGGAGACAATGGAAGAGATCCTAGAGGTCCAGGCATTTCTTAGCCCTGCAGAGCATCTTAGGTGTCCAAGCACTTCTCAGCTCTGCAGAAGACTCGTGTCCAGAAAAACTGTCTTTGCATTTTATTCACCCAGAGTTTCCAACTCCATTTTATGGATGGTGGGAAAGTAGTTACTTCCCTGAAGATATACTTGCCAGACAGTTTGATAATTTTTAATGAAATTCACATAGAATAAGAGCAAGGAGCTTAGGTGTACATACAAGTCAGGTGGTTATGACAAACACATGTATCCAGGTAACCCCCACCCCATCAAGAGGTGGGGCACTTCCATCACCCCAGAAAGTTTCTGGTACCTTCTTCCCCTGAGAAAAGCAGTCTCGTTTCTGTCACTGTGGACTAGTTCTGCCTGTGGAACTAGTGGAAGCCACAGTATGTGTGCTTTTGTATCTGGTTTCTCTTACTAATCATATATATTATATATATATATACACACACACACATACATTAGCTCTGTTCTTGCAGGTATCAGCTGTTTGTTCTCATGCTGAGCAATGCTCCATTACAGCAGTGTTTATCAATCACCTGCTGACGGGCATCTGGGTTGCACCTGCCCTTGGCTGCTAATAGAGAAATATTGAGCAACGCCTTCATATCTCATGGATAAACACCTAGACATGGAATTGCTGGGTCATGGCAGGTATCAGTTTAATTAATAAAATAAGGTCAAACAACTTTCGAGAGAGGACGCACCATGTTTACACTCCCAAGAACAATGAATGTGTGTCTGGTGGGTCCACATCCTCCCCATGATTTAGAACTGCAGACATTACTTTTAACCCTTTCAATGGGTGTGCAGAGGTTACTTTGCATTTCTCTGATAATAATGATGAAATCTTTTTCATGGACTAATTGACCATTTATATATTATTTGTGAAGTGTTATGTCCATTCAAGAATTTTGCTTATTTTTATTAGATTTTATTTTTGGGTGGTAGAGCTTCTTAACATTCTCTATATTCTCTATATATTCTCTATACTTATCCTCTGTGACACACATAAATTGTGAATATTTTCTTCCAGTCTGTGGTTTGTCTACTCATTTTCCTAATGGTGTCTTTTTAGGAGCAAAAAGTTTTTAATTTTGAAGTTCAATTTGTCAAGTTTTAAATGGCTACAGAGTCTGGTGTCCTCTCTAATAAATGTTTGCCTATCCCAAAGTTGTGAAGATATTCCCTGATGTTTTCTTCTAGAAGCTTTATCATTTAAATGCTTCTACTTTTACATTTAAGCCATCTAGAATTAATTCTTCAATAAGGGGGCGAGTTTTTTTTTCCATATGCATATCCATTTGTTCAAAATATTTTTTTTTTCCCATTGAATGCCTTTGGAGACTTGGTTGAAAATCAGTTGTGAGTCTATTTCTGGACTGTCTGCTCTGCTTCACTGATAAGTATTTCTGCATTTATGCAACCAATACATTTTCCTGATTGGTGTAGCTTCAGAGTAAGTCTTAAAATCAGGCACAATGGATCCTCAAATTTTGTTCTTTTTAAGATTATTTAGGCCAGTCTGGGTCCTCTGATTTTTTTGTGAATTTTAAAATCAGATTATCAGTTTCTACAAAGAAGCCAGCTGGGACTTTTACAGGGATTGCACTGAATCTACAGATCAATTTGGGCTGAACTGATGTTAACAATACTGAGTCTTGGGATTTCCCTGGTAGTTCAGTGGTTAAGAATCTGACGCAGGGACACAGGTTTGATCCCTGGTCTGGGAAGATTCCATAGGCCGTGGGGCAACCAAGCCTGTGCACCACAACTACTGGGCTGAGCTCTAGACGGTGCAGACGGCAACTACTGAGTCCATGCCCTTCAACTACTGAATCCTGTGTCCCAGAGCCCATGCTCTGCAACGAGAAGCGACTGCAATAAGAAACCTGTGCAACTAGACAGCAGCCCCCGCCGGCCACAACTAGATAAAGCCTGCAGGCAGCAACCAAGACCCAGCACGGCCAAAAATAAATTAATTTTAAAAATATATAATAAATCTTCCAATCCATGAATGTGGTATCGCTCTCCATCGATCTATTTTACAGGTTTTAATTTCCCTTAGCATTTTCTGGAATGGATTTTAGCAGTTAGAGATGTACTTTGTTACACTTAAAAATATTCTATTGTTGATGCCATTGTACATTTTTTAAACTGCGTTTTTTTTTCAATTGTTTTATTGCAAGTCTATAAACTTGTATCCTGGAAAACTCACTATATTATTGGTTTTGATTTCCTATGAAACACAATCATGCCATCTATTGATACAAATGATGCTAGTTTTCCTTCTACTTTCTAATGCTTGTATCTTTTCTTCTCCTGATCTTATTGCACTGACTTCCCTTACTATGTTGAAGAGAAGTAGTGAGAGGAACAATCAGGATATCACTTCCTCCTGATCTTAGAAGGATCTTAGACTTTCAGTCTTTAATTATTAAATATGAGGTTAGTTATAGGTTTGTGTAGATACTATTAGACTGAGAAAGTTTCCTTCTACTTCTAGTTTGCAGAGATTGTTTTAAAAACCATAAATGGATATTAAATTTTGTTAAATGCTTTTTCTGCATCTATTGGGCTGTGTGATTTTTATCCTTTATTCTGTTACTGTAGTAAATCATGCTTATTGATTTTGGAGAGTTAAACCAGACTTATATTCATGATGTATTATCCTTTCATATATATTTCTGAATTTGACTTGGCAATATTTTGTGAATGATTTTTCACACCTATTCTCATAAGGGATATTGGTCTGTAATTTTATTTTCCTGTAATATTCTTGTAGCATTTTAAACTTCAGAGTCATACTGGTCTTAGGGAATAAGTGTGAAGCTCCTGCCTCCTGACATCCAATAGATCTTTCTCTTCTTTATTTCCTGAAGGAATTAGTCTTCCTTACATTTTTGATAGACTATATCAGTAAAGCCATCTGGCTTGGCTTTTATGAAAAGTTTTAAAATTACTAATCTAATTTTAATTATTATTTATACTGTCCAACTGTAACTACGGATTTGTCTACTTCTCCCTTTATTTCTACCAGTTTTTGCCTTGTATGTTTTGAAACTCTGTGATTAGGGATATACACATTTAGGATTCTTATGTCCCCCTAGACCTTTACCTCAAGTATGCAAATTGCACTCACACTGAGTCAAGTTCATGACAACAAACTCCCTATGATGCTTCACTAAAGCTACTGTATCAAAATTCAGATTTATCAAAAGACAAGAGAAATCAAGCTCTTTTGCTTAAAGCTGGAAAACAAAGAAGCTAAGCTTCAGTAAGGATTAGCGCATGTGCAAAAGTTCAAGGATCTCCCAAATGAATACGGATACTTCGATCTGCGATCCCCCCACAACACATGCTCCAATCAGCATCACACCTGCTGTGACAGTGGACAGGAGACCTCTCTGGACAGCAGCTGAGAGGCCACACCTTCCAATGAGTCTCACACCCTCTGGGGAAGAACAGAGTCTCTTCTGTGTCCAAAAACTCAAATGCGTGTCTTTGCATCACGCTCTTTCCACTCAGAAGATGGCCTGATCACAGATCTGTTTCAGGGCTCCAGTCCTCTCCATCCCCAAATGAGCAGCATCATGGTAGCACTGAGGGTCTACACACTTGTGGTTGTTTGAAATAAACAAACATACATGTGCACATGCACAGAGTTCAAACTAAAGAAAGGAAAACACACAGCTCCCTTGTCTTCACCCAGCATGCACTTTGGGCACCTCCCCTGCCCTGCCCCTGGCAGTCGACCTCCAGCTTTGGAACCTGGGAGACTGTGGGCCATGAGAAGGAGGGGGCCAGCCTTTGCGATGCCCCGTGTAGGGGATGACCCAACTTCTGCCCCAGCCACCCTCCCCTTGGTGGGCAGAGAAGGAAGAGGACGCCCCCAGCCCACCTGTAATCACATCAGTGGTGGGCTGGGCTCATTCTGAGTCCTTTCAGCTCAAATCAAGTGAGAACAAGACCCCCAGACAACATCGACATGTGAATTCTGTGTGTGCTTAGGTGCTCAGTTGTGTCCGACCCTTTGGACTGTAGCCCACCAGGCTCCTCTGTCCATGGGTATCAGAAGATTTTGATACCCAGGGAATCAAACCCACATCTCCTGTGTCTCCTGCATCACAGGCAGATTCTTTACCCACTGAGCCATGGTCCAGCGATTAAGAATCTGCCTGCCAATGCAGGGGACACGGGTTCGATCCCTAGTCCAGGAACTAAGATCCCATGTGCCACAGAGCAACTAAGCCCCATGTCACAACTACTGAGCTCATGCTCTAGAGACCTTGAGCTGCAACTACTGAAGTCCAAGTGCCTAGAACCTGCGCTCTGCAATGAGAGAAGCCACCACAATGAGGAGCAATTAGAGATAGCCTGTTCAGCAGCAAAGACCCAGAGCAACGGAAATAAATAATAAAAGTGAGGACAGACCCTTAGCCCTGATCCTGAGGAACACGCTGGTCCACAGACTGAGGATGACCTCCCTCCTGGGAGGCCGTGGGCCGTGTGCCCTGGTGTCAGCCACGCCCCCAGGCCCCCACCCTGGGGCAGAGACCTGACTAGGTCCCCCCCCCCNAGCCACGCCCCCAGGCCCCCACCCTGGGGCAGAGACCTGACTAGGTCCCCCCCCCCGCCCCACCCGGTCCGGACCCCAGGACCTGCGTACTCGAGGACGGAGTGTGTGGCCGCGCTGGGGTGGTAGCGGTAGAGGAGGAGGCTCTGGTCCACACGGACGACCCCGCCGCCCTTCCTCAGGTGCTCGTAGAAGAAGAGCAGGTCCTCGGGGACACCCTGCAGGATGAAGAAACGTGTGTCCACTCAGAACAGAGCCTTGGATCAGGCAATGGGAGATGGGGGTCGGCCGGGGGCCCCTGCGCTCAAGCCCAGCCCGACCGGTGAGGCCTCAGCTGGAAAAAAACACGGCCAGCTGCGGCCCCCAGCTCACGGCCAGAGCTCGGCAAACGTGACCATAAGAGTCGGCTCCAGGACAAGAAGGTGCCTGAGGAGTAGACCCGAGCCCCGTTGTCACTCTCACTCATGGCCTCCAACTGGACCCTGGACCCCACTGCCCCCTCCCTGTTGATGGGCACGCTGCTCCGAGGGTCCGCAGTGTCCCACAGGGTCCTCTTGTCCTGTGAGAACCCAGGCCTCCCACCCTCGTCGAGAAGGGCTCAGATCAGGGCCGGCCGGCGGGGCCGCAGCTGCCCTGCTGGCCAGTCCGGGGCTGGGGGACCTCAGTCCTGATGGGGATAACAATCGCAGCTCCTTCACTTCCTTGAGTTCAAGGTGGAAAGCGAGAGAGCAGAGGGTCTGGACAGGAGGTCACACAGGGCGTGTCTGGCGAGCAGAGCCCGGAGACGGCCGGGCAGGCTGCCAGGACCCCTGCTCTGGGCAGAGGCTGGCTTCCCCACAGCCCAGAGGCTGCCGTGCGCCGGCCCAGCCTGTTCTGCCCCGTTAGCCGCCTCTGCAACCCGAGGTCAGGCCACGCCAGCGCCACGGCGGGGCCGACTGCTCCCGGCAGAGCCACAGGTGCTCGCCCAGCTCGTCCATCCCGAGGGGAAGACGGCACGGCTGGCCTCTGAGGTCTTGATGCCCTGGGAGAGCCCCGTGGCCGCCACCCTTGTGGGCAGAGGGGACTCCCGACCCCTTTGGGCCAGCCCAGGCGTATCTCCTGACTGGGCCCCATGCACCCAGCCTCTGGGGTCTGTGATGACCCGGTCGTGAATTCTGCCACCTCCTGGCTCAGGCCCGAGAGCCACCCCGGGGGCAGCCCGCTGGGCTCTCACGCCTGAGCTGCCACGCAGAGCACCGCGTCGGTCTCCGTGCAAAGCCACCCCTGCCCAGGGACTCGCCGCCAGGGGGTCTCAACACACTAGAGACAGGGCGGCAGACCGCAGAGGAAACCGCCGCGGGAACCACAGCAACGGCCTCACTCCCAGCCTCAGCTGGCTGAGTCATGCTGTGACTTGATGGACCACTGTGGTGACTGAAGTGTTTTCACAGAGACCACAGGTCATGAAAGGATTTATACCAAAAGGTTAAAAGTCAGCTTTCACAATTGTGTTCGCATGCGCACTGCAGCTAGAGAGGAACACCCACCAGCCGCTACTGGAGAAAGCCAGCAAGCAGCAGTGAAGACCCAGTGCAGCCCAAATTTAAAAAAAAAAACAAACCTGTTTGCAGCTCAGCTAAAAGTTGTCCACAGTAAAAGAAAGACAAAAGGACCCCACACAAAAGTTCAGAGCAGACGTGTGGTGATGGGCTCACAGCTGATTTGTATGTTTTTCCTTTTTCTAATTTTCTGCATTTTCAAAGGCACCTTTCGAGAGCACATTGTAACTCTGCGCTTTATACACTTAGGAAGGAGAGACGATGTCCTCTCCACTCATGACCAGTAGGGACTCAACCCCAGAGTTTCCTTATTTCTGGCAAAGAGACAACTGAGAATTTAGCCAGAGGACGTGGAAGACCAGGTGCTGAGCCCCAGTCCTCCATGGAAACAGGGGCCTGAGAAGACTTGGGGGAGTCACCCCCTGCCTTGGGGACCCTTGGGGCATGTGGTTGGAAGGGTGTGTGCCCTTGGAGGTGTGGAGAAAGGGGATGAGGATCCTTTGGGACGAAAGGAAACAGGAGGGGGAACACTCTCTCCTCCCCTTCCTGCTCTCAACGCTGGGGTCACAGAGGCAGCGACCTTGGGGTAGGAATCCTGTGAACAGAGGCCATACAAAGCCAGCTTGAGAAGACACAGAAAACAAACACTTCTGTGAACAGACATTCGCCCCAAATAAAAAATACCACCACCAAAAATCATGAAGGAGAAAAAATTCTCTTGTCAGCTGTTTCCTCATTTTGCCATGCTGTATAAAAACAAAAGGAAGAATTAACAAGTAAAAAAAAAGAAAAAATTCTGTAAATAACTCTCCAAGTGAAATCACACGTCCTCCACAAGGCTTGAGAACGGAGGAGGCCATCATGAACCAGAAATTCCATAACTAACAGAGCTGGACCGGTGCAGAGAGGAGGACAGACAGGAGACTGGGGGGAGGAGGGTCAGCCTGGGCTGGGGAGGCCCGGGGCGGGGGGCGCGACTGCAGGCCGGCTTCTCTGGGAGGTGAAGCTCTTCCATGCATCAGACGGTGGTGATGGCTGTGCATCCCCGTGAATGTGCTAAAATACACTGAGCTGCACATTTTAACAGGTGAATTATATGAATTATACCCCAATAAACCTTTTAAATAAGAGAGGGTTGACTGAATTCAGAAAAGAAATTGAAGAAAAAGATAAAATTATGTGAGAAATGAAGATGAAATTAGAAAGTTCTCCAGGGAAAGCAGATCTGAATACAAATAAGGGGCACTGAAGAAACGTAGGGAGACAGACAAGAAAGTGAAGATTAAGAAAATTAAATAATAAAAAAGGGTTAAGAGAAAGTTGTTGAAATGGAAGATAAAGAATATTGAAATAGAAAACCACAGCAGTGGCAGACAGCTAAAACTTAAAGTTATAAGCCAAAAAAAGAGCAGACCTGGTTCCCACACACCGGAACTCTATCAGCATAAAGACAAACCCCAGTGAAACCAAGTCTTTAACAACAAGGGAGGAATTCCCGTTGCCTCCAGGTGAGTCCCAGCAGCGTCAGGCAAAGGGAGGCGGCGGGGAGCTGTCCTCAGGACAGGAGGGAAGGTGTGGCCCAGGGTTTTCTGTTCAGTCCATCCCTCCTTCGTGTGTCCAAAACCACAATCTGAAGGTGCAGGAACAAGGAACGCCACGGCCCTTCAGGCGTGGGGAAGCCTGACGTGTGAGGCTGAGTCCAGGGACTCGGACAGGCACCTAGGGATTCAGCATGTGGGCCCGCCTTCTAATGTGAGCAGAAATCACACGACAAAATCAGCAGAAGACAGAGAGGGAATAGGCTGACCTACTGACTGCCGTTCAAGCAATAGGTAGGAGTCAGAATACCTTCAAAAACAAATATAAAAAGCTGACCAGGAAAGGTTTAAGAAGAGCATATGGGATTAAGGGCACTCAATACAGAGATGACAAAATACAAACCTTCTTTGATACCAAGAGAGGTTTTTAAGGCACGAGAGAAGATGCTGGCTTCTGGCTTTGGGTGTCTGAGAGGCCAACCTCTGTAGCACCTGTGAGGCCCAGGCTCAGAGCAGGCGGTGCCGGGGCGGGGAAATGAAACCCACAAAACAGAGGAGGACGCCCCAGCCTTGCTGCCCTGACGTCCTCGGGACAGAACCTGGGACTGAGGGAAGATCCCAGAGACCAAGGATGGGAGGAAATACCCACGAGCACACATCTGACCCAGAACACCAACACCTCAACAAGAAGACACCACAGGGATTTCTCCGGCGGTCCAGGCCCCCTGCATTGGGAGCATCAAATCCAAAGGACTAAGACTCCGGGCTTCCAATGCAGGGGGCCTGGGTTCGATCCCTGGTCAGAGAACTAGATCCCACAGAGTCTGAGTGCTGCAACTAAAGATCCCACGTGCTTCCACAAAGATGGAAGATCCCATGTGCTGCAGCTGAGACCTCCTTGGCCAAATAAATAAGACGCTCCACTCAAAACCGGGCAAAGAAATCTGGATGCTTCATAAAGCAACATAGGAGCAGCCAATCTGCACATGAAAAATTGCTCAATGTCGTAAGTCATCTAGAAAACGTCGATTAAAATACAACAGAAAACCACAGAACCCCAGTCAGAATGGCTAAAATGCAAAGGAGCCTGGGCTCCCCAACTCGAGAGAGGGGGCGACAGTTCATACGCCACACAGCGACTCCAAGCCTGAGGATCTTTCCAATGGGTGCAAAGGCACTTCTGAAAAGTGTCTGCCGTGCTGGGCAGCAGCTCTTCCGAGCAACCACGACCCCCTCCGGGGTTGGTTCTGAAACAACAAACACCATTTTGGTCACTTTCCTTCTGGTTTAAGGGCCTGAAACAGGTGCCTCCTGGGGACATCCAGACCCCTCAAGCTGGGTGCCGTCCTGCACCCTCCTCCAACTCTCCCACTGCCCTCCTGCCTCACTCTGAGCGCACCTTGCGGGCTCCGGCTCATGCCCGCTGTGCCCTCGCTTATCCCTGTCTTGCCGCTAGCCTGCTCTGTGGCCTTCAGCACCTCACCGTCCCGGCGGCTCCAGTTCCCTGCTCTTCCCCCCCGGGTGAGAGCTACAGCCTCCCAGACCCAGACAAGCAGCTGAGGACCAGCCCCCAGCACACGGTGCTCCCTCAAGTGTATTCCACAAGTAACTCTTAAGCTCAACCTGTTTTCTTGGGGGAGGACCTGAAGGAACCAGGAAACACCTCATGTCCTCATCCTGGCAGTGGGCTTCATGGCCATCTGTGACCCCCTCCTCATGCCCACATCCCTCACTTGCTGCAGCCACGGCCCCATCCTAGCCCAGGTCCTTGGTCCCTGATTCCTGTACAAAGAGAGGGATGGACTTTATTTTCCTTCCACAGCTCCCTCTCCAGGAAGAATTAACTCCTGCTAAGAGGACTGTGAAGAAAGCTGAGCACCAGAGAATTGATGCTTTTGAACTGTGGTGTTGGAGAAGACTCTTGAGAGTCCCTTGGACTGCAAAGAGATCCAACCAGTCCATCCTAAAGGAGATCAGTCCTGGGTATTCACTGGAAGGACTGATGCTGAAGCTGAAAATACTTTGGTCACCTTATGCAAAGTGTTGACTCATTGGAAAAGACCCTGATGCTGGGAGGGATTGGGGGCAGGAGGAAAAGTGGACGACAGAGGATGAGATGGCTGGATGGCATCACCGACTCGATGGACATGAGTTCGGGTGAACTCCGGGAGTTGGTGATGGACAGGGAGGCCTGGCGTGCTGCGATTCATGGGGTCGCAAAGAGTCGGACATGACTGAGTTACTGAACTGAACTGAAGAGGCCTGACACACTTCCCGTCCTGAAGCTGCTCATGGCTGTAATTTAAGGAATGTCTCCTGATGACCATCTCGGGGCTACGTGCTGCAGAAGAATGAGAACAGCAGGTGCTTGGACTCAGCACCAGTGAGAGCAGCTTTAGCAGCATGTGCTTAGTGGTGGGGAGACTCATGGGGTGTCCCTTCGCTCCCCCCGTGCCTTGATTTCAAGGAGAATCTGTTGGCAGAGAGGACATCCCACCACCTCTCTGGCCTTGGCCCCCTGCAGCCCCCGGTGGGAGTCCCTGGGCAGAGTGTGGCTATGTGCTCACGAGACCCTCCAGGAAGGGAGGGCTGGTGGAGATTCCCCACTTGGGGCAGTCCTGAGGACAGGCGGCGGGGGCCCCGTGTTTGTACACGTGAGACCAGCACGGCTTCTGGAGGGCAAGTCTGGGTAGCCGTGAGAGGGACTGTCTGACCAGGGTCCAGCGCAGGGGGCCGCAGAAGAGCTGACCTCTCCCTGGGGGTGGTCAGAGAAATGCTGGGTGGGGTCGGGCGGGGGGGGAGTGGTGGCGCCCAAGCCAAGGATCCACTAGGTCCCTGGCAGCGGGTGACGGTCCCCTCCAAAGTGGAGAGGAGACTCTGAGCGGGCCGGTCGGGGGGCCAAGGTCCTGGGGCAGATGGTGAGCCTGGGCCTGCATCACCCCCACCTTCTAGCCTAATGGGCCTTAACAAGTCTGACCCACGGGCTCCATCCATCACGAGACCAGAACACACGTCTCAAAGCCAATTTAAGGAGGGTTAAAGAAAAGCAAACTAATCAACCTTAAGATTTACCTTCTGACCGAGTGTTATGTCGGTGTGTTCCCTCTAAGGCCGTCGAGGAGGGAGGGGGAGGAAGTCGGGGTCCCCATTTCTAAGCCAGAGGCCAGCGTGGGCCCTGCTCTGCGGAGGAGGCCCCGGCCAGCTTGGACCCCAGTGCTCCGGGGCCGCCACCCGCAGGGGAGCAAGGGGCACTCCTCTCCCGCTGCCATCCAGGGGGCAGGGCAGCACTGCCCGCGTCCTGTGCTTTCCCACAAACAGCCCTTAAACCAGGATGAGGTGGCTATTGCAGGTAGGAGCCCAAAGCAGGCGCCCACGGTCTTCACACAGAAACCTGCTGCTCCCGGGGAGGCCCAGCCACCAGCACGCAGGCCCAGGGAGCACCGGGAAGGCCCTCACAGCCCCTCCCCGCATGCCCAGGTGGTGGTGGGGAAATCCAAGGGCCATACTTACCCGCCCGCCCTCATCAAACGGGCCCACGTGGGCGAACCAGGCTCGGGAGCAGAACCAGGTGGGCATGATCACGGTGGGACCGTTGGAGGTAAACACCTGGAAGCAATTAGCATCGACACAATGAACAGAGAACAGCTCATCCCACAACCCCCGTTACTTCCCAGAAAGTCACTCAGAAAGTGATAAACTTCTGTGCGTGTCCCTTCCCTGTTGGTACAAAGGTTCAAGTGGCTTTAGAGGCATATCAATGGTGTCCGGCTCCCCAGGCAGACAGACAGGGTGGAAGCCCACCCCCAGGTCCTCGGGGGCTGTGCTCTAATCACTTTGTGATGGAGCCTCACCTACACCCTAACGAAAAGGAATGCCTAAAATTAAGAGCGACGACAAAGAGGCACTGTGTGTCTGCCATGTGGGGCTTTGTCCACCTGACTGTTGGGCAGTTGGGCTTGGGGGCTCCCACCTCTTACTTTATTTCTACTAGGTTATAAAGTCTGCACTTGTGCCATGGACCCTGTGAGAACCTGTCTGACATCTGGTCCGACCTGCTCCCGAATCATGGACAGTGTGAGGCTGTGAGCACGTCTTGGGGACAGGGAGTCATGCCTAGAAGCTGAACTGGAACCGAATGGGACAGACAGACCCCCACCCCCTGTGCTTGGGACAAGTTGCTTCTGTATTTGGACATGGTTTGTGAACATCCAGCAGCTGACAGTCACTTGGGGCAGCCCTCCCCTTCCATGCAGCCCTCACCTGCCAAGCTCACCCAGCCCCAAGCAAGTCTGTCTTCTGCACTTTTGCTTCGAGACACTGCCACCAGCGACTACTCCGCGCCTAGCCCCCGCCTCTCAAGCTCTCTGCTCGCTCAGGAGTCTCACTGACCACAGGTGACTGGGGAAACCTGTTTGTGGAACTTTCTCTTTGGTGACACAGGGAAGAGGCGAGGCTGCTGTGGTGACTAGGGCTTGGTGATTGACATGGGGTCCCCCCTGCACCCCACCCCAGCGTGGGCTTAAGAAGTGGAGCAGCTGCTGACATGTGGGTTCTGAGTTTTAAATGTGGTTTCCAGCAAGACAGAACTCGTGAGGGTCTTAACAATCCTCTTAGAAATTTGCCAGTCATCAGTTCTAGTCACTGTTTGAATTGTGTGCAGGTGAAGGAATGCCGAGATTTAACCTGCTGTGTGAGGTGTAGCGTGTGAGCCCCTCAGCCACCCTCCGTATACAGGCACCCCCGTCTGTCCCCTGAGGCTGTCCCCCTTCCTTGTCCTGCAGCAGAGCCAGGGGCCGAGGTCCTGTCCAGACCAGCCCCCCACCAGCTGAACAGGGGAGCCGTGGAGCCCTCAGGAGAAGGTGGTGTAGGCTTAATGAGCGTGTCCCACTTCTAAAACCCCAGGGACTCATTACAAGAAACCTTGAGCAAAACTGTCTTAGAAGAAAAACAGCCCTCTCTTCCATGAATGTGGCCTGTTGCGGCCACTTCCTGCACTCAGGTCACGTGTTTCTGGATGTGAAACATGGTTAGGCCCCAGTGTGGGTCGAGCAGGTTAGCAGCAATTTAGGGCCAGCTCCCTGGCATGGTCACGATTCTGCCTCCACTGCCCCCATGGGCTCAGGCTGGTCCTGCCAGCCCACTAGGAGTGGAGAGGGGCTCCTGGCTTCCCTGGGATTTGCCCTGACCGCAGCCACAACGCCTGGCCTGGGCCATGGAGGTTCTGCCAACAACTAGAGATTAGAACACAGGGCTCTCTCCCTTGACACCCTGGGGCATGAAGGATGTGGGGAGGATACAGAGGGGACTGGGCCCCCCTCCCTCGGCTATACTGCCTGCACTGAGTCTAAGGCAGGGAGGGAGAAGGAGGCAGCACTCAGGAGCGGAAGGGGTGCCCAGGGAGACCCGAACATCTGCTTCTCTCTGCCCTGGACTCTGGGCACAGGGCTTTCAACCTGGACAGGCCCCTTGCACATGCACACGCCTACACACAGACAACATGCATCCCACTGCCTTGGGCAGGCGGGCCCTGAGGGCAAGCCCACCACCTGCGAGGGGGATTTGCAGGAATTGAAGACCCCTGTACTGAAGTCAGCTCACTTCCATCTTAATTGGGGGCACAGGGCAGGTGCCAGCCCCACCCTTCTCAGCCCAGAACACGAGCTCCCCCGCCCAGCAGTGCAGTGGCCTCAGCGGGTGAGGGTGTCTCAGGCAAGGCCCCAGGAGGAGGGCTAGCGTCCCCATGCTGGGCCTGGTTACAGCCATGCCTACCCACACCTCTGAGCACGGGCGCTGTGTCCAGCCGCGGCACTGGCTTAGAGTGACCAGCATGTGCTCCTGATTCTAACACCGATTAGGGTCTACTGATTCTAACAACTAGCACACACTTGGCTCCGAGACCACCTCGCTGAACGTTTGGATGGTACACACAGGCTCTGCTCCCCTGCACCACCTCATCTGGCTGAAGCTGCTGAGATGCACACGGTGGATGGCGACTCACACCACAGCTCAGGGGCCAGTCTGGTGGGGCCCCTTCCTGGCCTGCAGGCGGCCTTCTCCGTGTGTCCCCACAGGGTGGCAAGAGCTCTGGCGTCTGAGCCCATCACGGGGCTCCACCCTCATAGCCTCAGCTGACCCTAGTCACTCCCAAAGGCCCTGTCTCCCAGTCCCATCACATTGGGGGTTCAGACTTCAAGACAAGAGTGGAGGACATGGGCATTCAGTCCGGGACAGGTGCACCCCATTCTCAGACCTCCAGCTCTGCCCTGTCCCCCAGTGGCAAGTGCCCCTGAGCCCTGCTCCACAGGCACTCGCACCCAGGAGCCCATCAGCAGTGACCACTCATCTCTAGTTGAGCCCAAGCTCCAGACTACAAACCTGGCTGCCCACTAACGTCTTCCCTTAGTTGCATGAAGGACGATGCAAATGACTTACAATTGTGTTGAGTATGATCAACATACAACACATGGTATGTATTTAAAGTTTGATGAATGTGACCAGAGTAAACACACCTAACCACCCCATCTCCAGCTTTCTCGTGCCCGTGTCCGCCCCCCGGGGTGAGCTTCCCACCTCCCTCCCCCAGGCAATTGCTAACTTGCTTTTTTTGGGGGCGCGCACACACTGCTTTCAGGATCTTAGTTCCCCAAAAAGGGATCAAACCCTGGCCCTTGGCAATGTAAGTGGGAATTGTAACCACTGGACCGGTAGGGGATTCTCTGATTGGCTTTCTGTCACAAGTAAATTACTTGCATTTACCAGGATTTCACATGGAGTCACGCAGTCCGTGCTCTTTTCTGGTTTCTTGCACTCAGTACCACCTGTTCGCTCTAAACTACAGCTGTTTTCCCTTTCGCCTGTTGGACATGGGCTGCTCCTAGTTGACGTGGCGAGCATCTGTGTGTCAGTCTCTGGGTGGAGAGGCTTCCATTTCTCTCAGGTAAACACCCAGGAGGGGATGACTGAATGAAAAGACAGTTGAATGGACAGCTTCTAAAAAAATCTGCTAAACTGCTTCCCAAAGTGGTTGGATCATTTGCGTTCCCACCAGCAGTGTGAGTTCCTGTTGCTCCACATTCTTGCAAACACGTGGGATGGCCAGCCCTTGTATTCTAGAACCGCTAACAGGTATGCACTGGTATCTCATTGAGGACTTAACATTTTTATAGTGGCGAATGATGCTGAACTAAATTTGCCATCCATATACCTTATTTGATGAGGCATCTATTCAAATCATTGGCCCATTTCTTTATTGGGACGTATGTTTTCTTATCATTGAGCCTTGAGAGCCCTACAGAGCTCTGGGTACAAGCCCTTTATCAGAAATTATCTCCAAATATTTCCTCCCATTCACCTGAACTTGTCTTTTCATTCTCTTAACAATGCCTTTCAAAGAAGTTTTCAATGTTCTTGAATTCCATTTACCCATTTTTTCCCTCTTATGAATTGTGATTTTGGTATCTGAGAACTTTTTTTGCCTAACCCAAGGATGTAAAGACTTTTTTCCTAAGTTTTCTTCTAGAATTTTTACAGTTTTAAGTTCTACATTTCATTCTAGGATCTATTTTGAGTTAATTTTCACATATAGTGTGAAGATTTAAAGTTCAATTTTATTGTATACGGATATCCATGTGTTCCATCTGTTCGAAGATAATGCTCTTTTCCCACTGAACTGCTTTTGCACTTTGATAAAAGATCAGTTGTCTGTGTACACACAGGTCAACTCTGGACTCTACCCTGTTCCTTTGATCTATCTGTCTATCTTTATGCCAACACACATTGTCTGTATTAGCCTTGAAGTTGGGTAGTGCTTGTTCTCTAACCTTGTTCTTCTTTTTCGGATGAATTTTGACTGTTCTAAAACCTTTGCATTTCCAACAAAGTGTAGAATGAGTTTGTCAATTTCCATTAAAAAAAAGCCAAAAACCAACAACAAACAACCCTGCTGTGATATCAGCTGGGATCATGATGAACACACAGCTCAGTCTGGGGAAGACAGACATCTCAACAACACTGAGTCCTCCAACCCATGTGAGCACCGTGTATCTCCCCATTCACTTAAGGCTTATTTCTTGCAGTAACTATACTAGTTTCCTGTGGTTGCTGCCACAAATTACCACAAACTTAGTGACTTAAAACAACAGTGGTTTATTTTCTTAATGTCCTGGAGGCCAGAAGATCTAAGTGAATCTCGCAGTGTGAAATCGGGGTGTCAGCAGGGCCTTGCTCCATTCAGAGGCAGGGGGACACATCTTCCAGCTTCTGAAGGCCTCCAGCACTGCTCGCCCTCCCTGGCTCAGGGCCCCTTTCCTGTATTCACTGCTAGCAGCTTGGTGTCTCATCTGTCTGGGTCAAATCTCCTCTGACTCCTCTTATAAGGACACTTAACGATGGCAGGGCAATCTCGAAGTCCTTCATCACATTCGCAAAGACGCTTTTTCCATTTAAAGTAACATTTCCAGTNCCCCCCATCCCCAGGGGACATTTGTCGATGTTTGCAGACCTTTTCAGTGGTTACACCTGGGGTTTGGGGGGGATGAGAAGATGGGGAGGGGCACTCCTGCTATCTAGGCAGGACAGGGGAACGAAGTTTTAGCTGTGAGGAAACA